CTTCGAGCATTTTATTTTTGTTGTTCATCGTATATTAAACAAAGACAAAATAATACTCGGAGATTCTCGGGTAGTGTTTTCGAACGCAGTCATAGGGACACCCTGTAAAAAAAATGCAATCGTCACGCAGATTTTATTTCGGACTGGATTTAATGAAATGCAACAAGAACGTACAGTAGAGAACACAAATGAGAAAGAATGAGAAGTCATAAAAAGGCATGCCTTTCCTAATAAGATATAGGGTGTTTCAAAATTTGTAACTCAAAATATTACAAAGAGATTTCACAAAAAATTGTGAAAGGATTATTTATATATTTTTATTTCAAAAGCAGCAATTTTTTTTAAATAATAAAGGTTCAAATGTAGCTATAATTATATATATAGATACTAGATACCTTTACGTTAAAAATCATCTTTACACTAAAAAATAAATAATAATTTGATATTTTTTAAATCATTTAATGAATGTCATATAAACGTTTATAAAATTTTGTGATACTTATTATAAACATTTTTTTACTAATTAAAATTTTTTTTAATAATTTGATTATGTTTTTAAAAAACGTAAATAATTCATTGAGGTATAAATAAATTGATTATAAGTTAATCGCCAATTAATCTGGCTTGAAATCGTATTTAATCTTTAGTTTAATTTAATTGTCTCGTTTATAGCTTTTCGGAAAACGGTCATATTTCTTGAAAGAGAGAGAGAGGAGACAGAAACAACACTTTTATTTCAGACATCTTACTGGACAGTCTATATATTATTTTCAATTTCCACAATTTTTCATAGACAAAAATTGTAACAGCCACTAGATTTGTGATCGAGAAATAAACGAAGCTTATACTTATAAAAAGGAGGGAGGGAGAGGAGGAAAAAAGGAAAGGATCGCTCTTGTTAAGTCTTAATGATAACGGCGTAATCACGTCGCACACAATCACTATATCGATAACAGGAAGAGACGCAGAACGTGTAAATGGGTCATCACATGTGTGCGGGGGAAAGAAATTACGTGTATACATAACGCTGCTGGGCTCTTTTTTTTTCCGCCGTACACTTAACAAAAATACACACTTTCAGGCAAATCTGCTTTGAATTGAACATCGATCGTGCGTTGTTGCAAGATTAGGAGTAAAGCTAATGGCTGCGATTTTCTTTTTCGTTTGCGATATTTACCGCTTTAAGGGGATTACGCCACCTTCGCAGCTTAAAAATGATGTTTGGAATTTTTTTTTTTAAGAATGAAGGAGTGAATCAAAAATTGTTTATGGGGTTTTATTATATGTATCTTCAACTGTATGAAAACATTTATATTTCTTATTTACAAAATGGCGGCACTATAGCCGTATCGTCAAACATCTTCATTAGCCGAACTTCTCCGCGGTATAGTCCAAAATTTCTACACGGTTTGTTAACAAAATACCAAAAATTTGTATCATCTACGTATTAAAAACTAAAGAAGTGGCAGTTTTCAAAAATATTGATTTCTGAATATGGTGAACATTTGAAACGGTAGTTTTTTCGTCTAAAATTTTTATTTTCAATATAGCGCCAAAATCCTACGCATTTCTTTAGATTATACTTATAGGAAAGCTCCCTATTATGAGATAGGCGCTTAACATGAGATAGCGGCGTTTCTGCTAAACTAATAAATGCTATTTGTTGATTCTATCATGAAATTATTGCTCTTGGATTGAAAACTGTTTAGTGGAAAATTCATTGTTAGATCATGCCTACAGTAATTGTAAAATAAAATTTTAGAGTTTGAATGTTTTCAAGTTTCATTGAGATAAGCCTTTAATCTTTGTTTATTATTTAATAAGTAATTATTTGGCAATAAATTCTTCATGTAGTAATAGAGTAAGATCGTACTGATAGAAAAATACGAAATATGTTGAATTGTTTAATTAAAGAAGTTAGATTTGATGATCGTAAAGCTGTAAGACGTGATACTCGTAACATGAGATACCCAGGATATTTCTAATATGAAATAATCTATACTTCTGTGCCCAAGTGAAAATCGATGTTAAAGTATAAATGTTATTGTACAATAATAAAAGGAATAACCGGAATGAACATTGAGGGTCTGTTTCTGCAATACTTCATTCCAATTACTACTGAAGACAAATCCTGAATACAATGCATCACATGCTCAATTTACGCGCATAAGCTGTACTCGTTGATATGTTAGAAACATCAAATAAAGTTTTTTTAATTCTAATACTGATGTACTTTGTGCTTTATTATCGATTTCACGGGGTATCTCATACTAGGAGCACAATTTTTCGACTTTGCGATTTGTTCACCTTTTACATTTCTTTAATTAAAAAATAAAATAAAATTTGAATTAAATTTTACATAACGCTATCTTAAAGCTTATTAAATTCTCTTCAAAATGACCTATTATTTTTTTTAATTCTACCAATAAACATTTAGTAATTACACAAAATGAACTCGGTATCTCATAATAGGGGCCTCTCCTCTATATATAAGAGAACATTTACTTCAAATTTTAAGTGAATTTTAAGTGAATCGGATGAAAAATGTAAAAGTTATGTACGACATCGACTTTGAAAAAACTATTTTGAGAAAAATATGTTCAAAGTTTTGGTAATTTTTTTGTTCATAAAGCAATAAAATCTCAATTTTACCCTCAGTTTCTTATTCCTGGATTATACAAGTGTTCTTCCAAGAGTTCGTTTTACTCATTCGCCTCTTTTTTTGTGGTTTTTATTAATTTCTGAGTCTTTTTAGACTCTTTTTCGCTTACGCGCTTATTACACTCTTTGTTTCTTTTTCTATCAAATAGCGATTCGTGCGGTGATGCGTTTCACTAAATCGGTTCTTGTAACATAATATCATCGAAATTTTGAATTAAAACTATTAGAATTCTGTTTTTGGAGCTACAGACTATCGGTTTAAGCAAAAAATAATTTGATTTTTTCAAACCTCCAAGATGGCATAACCCCTTAATTGCGCATAACGAATATCGAATATTCTTGACGCCGTGTATTTGTATATGTGTGTATGTGTGTGTGTGTGTGTGTGTGTGTATATACTTTTGTTTTTTGAAACTTATGTTGCTAATCTAAACCTAACTACGTTGAACAACAGGTAAATGTCCTGAACAAAATTATATGAGCGGTTTCCCGCCATTATATCGCATTTTATATTTTGTCGTTCTTATTAAGATATTCCAGTCTCGCGAGGGTGTTTCAGCTTTTCTTGTTTTTAAACAAAAAGCTTTAATAGAAATTTAATTTCTTCAAGAAGAAATACTTTTAAACTGATTTTATTTTTCTCATTTAGTTATATTTTATTCAATTTAAACCCATATTTAAATTAAAAAGTATGAAGAAATTAAAAATACTATGGTGAGAGCACCGTTTGCTTTTTTTCTTTGTCAGCGATAATAGAATTTGAAAAGAACTGAACGTATGATTCGTGTGCTCCAGAAAAATTAATATTCAGAATCGCGAAAAATAAAGTAGTGCCTATAATCTTCTGTCAAAATTAAGTCCACTCAAGAAATTCGTTAATAAGAAATTCAGCAACATCCTCGCGTATCTGCAGTTAATTTGGCGAGGAAAAAAGCATAACGCGTAATATCTTCAGTGAAGACGTTACGTGCGTGTGTAACGGACGTGTAATTACATACATTAATTAATTATGTAGAGATGTTCAGTCTCCTCGGAGTGTTGAATATGGAAGGCCGTGTTTGGTTCGAAGATAAACCTTACGAAGATAAACCCCTTCGGTACTGTTAGAGCCTAGACAATGAAACGTACAGACAATAGAAGCAGGAAATAATAGACTTCAACCAGAAGCCGTGCATTATATCTATACCGTGCAATACATGGTTTCTGATGGTTGAAATCTGTTATTCTCTGTTCCTACTGCCTGCATGTGCTTTTCATTTTGTCTAGGCCTTTACACTCACATTCACCTCTTCTTCTTCCCTCGAGCGTTTCCCGTTTTCCAGAAATACGGACACCTATTGATCAACGTTCTGCTCGCGTTTCCTCGGTCAAACGACGAGAACATACATGTAATTCCTGACACTCTGCTTTCGCTGATACGACCGCCAAAAGTTTTCCAGGAAGATTTCACGGTGACGCCCTAATCGGACTAGAAACCTCATAACAAAGTCTGGCCACGAGCAATTTTGTCAAAGAGTGAGAAAGAAGGATATATATTCTGTCTCTTTTTAAATGCTATCTTATCCTAACTTTTACTATCTCATGCATTCTAACTTACTAAAGTTAACGAAAACAAAGGGCTAATTAAAAGTGTGTCGTGGCCAGACTCTGTTATAAGGTTTCTATATCAGACTAAAGACTGAGATTGAGATTGAATTCTACCAATCAGAAGAAACAAAATCAAGTTTAGTGAACTTTGCTTTGATTGATCAAATTGATCCGTTAAGAGAAATAAACTGATTTTTAGGGTCAAAACGCGGATCTTTATAGCTTAAATATTTCAGAGTGAATTTGTACATCTACATACTTAAACCGCGCGCCAAAATCTTTTTCGGTCTTGGAACTCAATCATAAGCAGAATTAGAGTAGTGGTATCGCATTAAATTAACAAGCAATAATAATATTTAATAATTTTATAATTTTTTATACTAACAAACATTTTAGAAGGATGTTAATAATTTGATTATTGATGCTAATCTAAGTATCTTAAATAATTTAATTTATTGCCGAATTTGAGTTCGAATCCCAAATAAAACAATATATTTTACAAATCAAATTATTAATATCCTAAGAAACGCTTATTAGCATAAAAAGTAAGTAAATTACTTGTCAATATGTATTGCTAATTTAATTCTGTTCATGATTGCGTTTCAAAATCGAAAAAGATTTTGGCGCGCGGTTTGCAAAATAGAATATAAATTTATTTCGAAATATTTAAGCAGTAAGATTATCCGGTTTGACCAAAAAATAAGTTTATTTCTCTTAATTGATTTATTCTCGTTGATCTAATACGAATTGTAATTATTGATCAAATTCAATCTTAATCTCAATGAATCTCTAGTCTGATATAGATATACATTTCTTATAATCTGCATATCGAAAAAAAATTCAATCTTGCAGTATATTTTGCTCCATCTCTACTTTTTCATCGCTTTATACATATATATGCGTTGAACGTATATTTCTCATCCTCCCTTTTTCCAATTCTTCTCAATTCCTACTCGCTCGAATTATCTATATAGACGAATAGACCTACATCTAGTCTCATGCTAACTCAAAACTATATCGCCTCATATACATATTTGTATTATATAGATATATTTATATATATGCATATTTTATATCAGTCACGAAGTTGTCGAAACCAAGCCTGAGGGTAATTTGATTCGATACTACGATTGTTTAATGATTCAGTCGTAGCGTCATTACGAGCGCGTCGCCCGTATTATACGCAAAAGGAGCTTAAAATCGTAACATTACCATTAAGCGAGTAAGTAACAAGAGCGCGCTGAAGCTTTTTTTTTTTTACATTTTAACCGTCATCGCGATCGGATTTGAAAAAGAGCTCGATGAAAGCGATCGATTTCTTCGACCACCTGGCGCAGGAAATTGTTTCAGATATTGAGTCGTGGACTCTGATATGTTTCACACGCTGTCTTATAAAATTCGTGTTAAACAGGCCTCTGCAAAAAACCTGAATGCTGATTATCGTTACAATGATAAAATGCCATATTCTAAATGCGAATTTGTCACTTTTTATATTCCGAGGTACTTGGACTAAAGAGTCTGGATCAAGAAAGGTCTGATTCTCACGTTCCTCGGTTCTCCAGCGCGACTCTTGTAAACCCAAGGAAAGCTTCTCTTAGTGAGCACCGTGATTTTCTTAGAACGAGTAAATCAGCGTCGACGTTGTCGTCGCGACTGCTTGTTTTGCCTCCTGCGATTGAAAGGGAGGATAGCTGAAGAGGAGCGACAGCAAGGGCCGTTTGTCGAAAGAGCGCGGACTCCCAGAGAAACGTCGGCTGCTGACATCCTTTTCCTGGTAGATTCTTCATCCGAGAGATTTTTGCTTCTCTTCGTACGCCTTTAGACAGGCCCCAACGTCGCAGATTACTTAGTAGACCATTCGATGGGGATATTGATAGCTTCGCGGTTGAGAGCTCAACTGCAGCTCAGCGGCGGGGTACGGATCGTAGCCCTGAAAGTACAGAAAAAAAAGGACATTTTTCGACATTTTTCTTTTGTCTCCTTTTATTTTTTCTTTACTCAAGCCCTCTATTGAAGATTGTCATACAGCACAGATCATTCTAACGATATTATAGAATTTGTAACGCTCCAACACAGTATTGCAATAACATTGACTGTGTTCAGCAGAAAAAGCAGCTTTGCAATTGTTGTAAAATTCTTGAATATGATTGGTTTATAGATTTAGATCCAGTGAGAGAAACTAAGGGCAAGACCAATCGTATTAAAAAATTTTACAACAAAGCTGCTTCTTCTGCTAAACGCAGAAAACGTTGCAACAATGTTGATGCAAGCTTCTGTGCTATATTGATTGGCTCGAAGCAATTGCCGAATTCAATTCACCTGCGTTCGTTTCTTGGACACTATGAACCTCTTCTGAGGGTAGTACGCGGCACGTTGAGGATAAAGGAAATCGTACTGCGGATTAACATGATTGCCATACTGCGCGGGACCCTCATACTGCTGATCCAGCTGCTTTCCGTACTGCTCGTAATAGCTGGGCGGGTGGGTTCGGACTATCCCGATGTCAGAGGGCGATAATGTGTCGTAGTGCCGCGAGGGATATACCGGTGTCAACCACGGGAGAGCTATAAAGGAATACAGAAAAGGATACAGAACTGATGAAGAGGTAGAAACCCTCGCTAAAGAAATTCATTATCTTTTTATTATTTTTATTTTTGTGCAGCTGGATCGTAATTACAGGATTACAATTGTCAACGAACCGTTTCTAGGATCTTCCTCATCAAGGAAATCGCTGTCGTCTATCTCGTATTCTTCGTTAGCGTATTTGCGCCAGTTTCTATTCATGAAGTAAAAATGAGATAAAAAAAAAATCAAGCATTTATTTATGGAAAAGTTGTGAAAAATTTTAAGGGAGCTGGTTACCCGTTACGTTGTTCGTTCTCCCACAGCGACAGGAGGGTCAACACATCATCAGGGTTGATGTCCAGAGGCAGCTCCCGCTTGTATCGTGGTTCCTGGTAGTACGGGACGCTGAAAATTCAAATAAAAAAAAAACGTTTCAGCAGGTCTCTTTTGTTGAGGACGATTTAACTCTATTACTTGCGTGATCTTTTTTTAGCGTAATTATTTGCGTGGAGTGCTTCCGACGCCCCAACATTATATCACAATTTCTATTTCTTTCTTTGATAATTTACAATTAACTTAATTGCTGGTCTGTTCAAATTTACTATACAATCTAAAGAATCTAAAAAGAGAGACTCGCTAACTGGTCACGCTAACTGGTCAATAGTCGTTGAGGGCATAGACGTAAGATTCTATGCGACCTTGTAACAAAACAAACAACTGGATACGTAATTGGCGTCCTTGCATAATCTCGACATTATCAAGTTTTTTTAAAGAGATAATAATACCATTATTTACTTACTTATTTATTAATTTTTTAAATTCATAATCACAAAGAATCGACTGTGCCTATAAAAAGACTTCGCATTGACGGTGTAAGGTTAAAGAGCTCTAAAAAAAATTAATTTTCATAGAAAAAAGATCTTCATTAACAAAGGCAATCATCAAATGCTGAAGAAAAGGCTTTAGATAAAATATAAGAAAATAAATTACATTTTGAGTCAAATAAATCTGAACAGACCAGCAGAGTTTTTAAATAAAAATCATAATAATCTATATACATTCTTTATAAATAGAGATAAGGTTGCAAAAATATTTTCAATTATGAAACAATTTGCATTAAGTATATAAATAGCCTTCATTCATTTAGCGTACTTATAAAGCTGAAGTGTTCTGGATATTCCATGTAAAGGGTTAAATATATTAATATAAAGAGTTAATAGTGCGGATCTAAAAATAGTTATGTACTTTTATCGTTATGCAGATAAAAACGTACAGTACTTAACGATGAAGTATGTAGTCTATAATGATTCGTTGCGGATGGATTCACTTGTCGCGATAATGCTAAACAGGGTGAGCCAAGGAGAAACGACGATCTAATCGTGGCTACAAAAATTGTCGTTTTTCCGACGATGCTCAGATCGATGTCTCGCAATCTCGTTTCGGAATCGCTTCGTGAATTCATTATTCCGCGCTGTGTTCGCGCAGCGTCTATATTTCAAGATTGATCGATGCTTATCCGTGACGCAAAGCGACCGACGACGATCACCGCGACGACTCGTCCCTACATCGCGCGCTATTGTTCTCCGTCACGAACGGCGCTTTATCTCGCTGTCGACGGACTGTCCTTTGTGTGAGCGAGTCTCACGATAGCTAGCATTCAAACTTATATATACTCGATACAACGGCAAGTACGGGGACAATACCGCGGACAATACGCGCCTTCGACGGTGAGACACGATTGCAACGACAATTGTCATCGTTCGTTGTTGATTAACAGAGAAAGTCATTTCGCAACCCGTACAGAAACACGCAAAAGTCAAAATGACTTTATTTGGAATTTGAACGTCAATAGAAAGTCAAATGTTGCAATCAAAGATTGTCATCTTGATTTCCGTGACGTTGAAAGACACAATGATGAGTTTTAGTAAAAAAAAAAAAAAATATGTCAAAAGTCGAAATGATGACTCTTGGTCGTACAATTTATGTGTGTTCCTTTGTAGTTACACATCGCGATAAAACGATCGATAATGATGCCTGGTAGGGACTAACGCTGATCAACTGATAGCCTGGCTATGTGCCAAAAACTCGTAGGATACTTTCATTCAGCTTTTCGGCGTTTACCAGAGTGTAGTATAAGGACTCTGGCCCTTCGCGGTCTTTGCGCCGTCAAGGCTGGCCACACGTCGGATCTTACTACTACAATTTATCTATCTTGATTCTTCCGTCTCGATTCCATCTTAAGCTCATCTCATATATCCATTTCTACTAATGCAGATTAACTGGAATCTTGGCTTAAGTTACTTTTTATCATCTTTTCTTATCTCAGGATTAATAGGAGCTGAAGAGTTATAATTAAATCGAGATTAAAATTGATCTTGGTAAAACTGGATATTAGACGATTAATTTACCACAAAGTTCTTTTATATAAGAAATGTGTATACATTGTAAACAATGAAAAATTATATTGATTCAAGGAACCTCGCGAGATTGAAGAAGCGAGTTTTATACTGCAATGCAAAGTTTAAAGAAGCCTGTCTCAAAAGATACCTGATATCAAAGTGTATTAAATTTTTATTTTAATAAAATTTTACTATAAGCTGCTTAAATAAATAAATTCAGAGTTGTGCAGTCAAAATTTTAAGAGATGAAATCATCCTTTGTATGAAAAGCAATTTTCTTTTTTTTGTTGTTAAAAAAATTCTTTAAAAACATTAAAACATATTTTATATAAAAATTTTATAATAAAGTTAATTCCACTCACCTACTCTAATAATATTTTATAAAATGAATTTTTTTTCAAAATCTATATGTTTATCATTTTTTAAACATATTATGATGTATAGAGATAAAGATAATTTTACTGTAAAATTTTTATATAAAACATTTTTTGGTATCTTGAATAGTTTTTGAGATATAATGAAAAAACACTTGCTTTATAAAAGTCAATTTCACTTTTTAAAACCGTTTATTAATTGCAATTTTCTAAATTAATTTATTTACGCGCGACCTATATACAAAGTTTCATTAAAATTAGAATTTAAATTTCTCAAGAGGTTTTTACCAGATGTGCTGGAAGGGCTCGTTTTTACCTCATTAACATTAGTTTTTCGGCACGTGCCGCTTATAATTCTTCTAATCGATTAATTTAGTTCATTACGTCGGCGTTTCCTCTATTGATCTGCATCCGACGGGACGCCTCCATTCAAACTCTCGAAACGAGGACGGGGCTGTTGTCTAATGCGTCAGCGGGATTATTATACCGTCAACGGAAGAACAGTGGAGCGCAGTGGAAGGCTCATCCTGTCGCAGCCGGAAGTATCGTCGATAAATTCGCGGAGTGTGCTTGCCAGATGATTGGTCGCTGATACCAGCGAACAATCAAGCTCTGACCTAGTTTCGCTTCCATCCCGGCTCCATTCAGCTTTTCGTGGGCCCGCTCTCTCTCTCTCGTGGATACTCAACCACTACCACCACCATCACCACCACCGCGCCACTACCACCTGCGTCACGCGTATCGAGCGATTCGTGCTCTGCACCAAATTCTCTCCCCCCGTATGTGGGTGTGCGAGGCCACGTTCGTGTGCCACAATGCCGTATGCACAGGCAAACACGTACATTTGCCTAAAGCCCGTTTCTACTAATATAGACCCGGATAGCACAGAGCGGATTCGAAAAAGGATTCAAAAAGAATTCAGTTGTACGTCATCCATTCCGAGTCTTTTTCTGAAAAGAATTCTTTTTGCATCTGAAAATAAACTCGGAATTGATGACGTAGGACCGAATTCTTTTCGAACTCTCTGTGCTATTCGGGGATTAACTTTAATTTCAGTTCAATTTACTTTTTGTCCTTTTCTAATTCTAGATCTAGAAACAGGTGTAGAGTTAATTGGACCGAGATTAAAATTAAACTGTGCGTTAGTGAAAACGGGTATTATAGAATTAGAAAAAAGAATAAATAGTGCTCTCTAAATTCTTTGGAGTGAAATCTCACTCTAAAGAGTGAAAATTGAGCCAGTCTTATAAAGGAGCAGCTTAGTTTTCAATTCTGAAGAATAAGATTCCTCTCTTCAGAGTGACAATTTTCTGAAAGTTTTAGAGAGTAAGAGAGTACTACATGTAACTTGATCGAAATGGATATAAATGTGCTCACTTTGTGCCGTACATCTGTTTTATTTCTCTCTTCCTCCGCGAGAATATGCGAGGATGGTCCAAGTCACGGGACGTTAATTCACGAGAACAATAGCATTTTTTTTAGACGTTTGAAAATTCCGACAAAGTCACGCTGAGATCTACAATTTCAATTTCAATTCTAATTCTTTGATTAATTTCAGAAAGACTCGCTGAGATGTCGAGAATAGAAAAAAGAGAATTTTTACAAATGTAATTAAATACCATCGTCTTTTACATAAGATTTTTTTACAGTTTCAATTTAATTCGATATAATACAATTACAGAATAAAAATTGTAATATAAATTATTGTAATGCAAATATTATTAATTATGTAAATGAAATTTCTATGAGATCTTGGTGGAAAAAATTTTAACACAATTTTCCTCGGTGCCACGCGACACGCGTGGCAATTTTCTTTTCTTTGAAAATATACTCAAAGTGCTTTTATCGGCGAGCGCTTCTATTATTATAGCACTCGCGGCTAAGGATAACGCATTATGTAATCGCGTTTACTATAATAGGAACGGTTACCGCGTTATAAGAATTTCATCGAGGAAAAAATTAATCGTTGTCGTGTCCGTCGAGGTAACCTGTGACATTTGCGTCTCGGTCAGGCAATGCATTCCCGTACATTTTTCGTGTAAAAATAACGGGCCGCGATGGCGATGGCTGTTAACTTTGAGACGATAATAATGTCCGCTCGACGGCAGTCCCATGTATGTGTGTTTAATTTTAAACACCGGCCTTAGGCAATTCCGTGCGAAGCGCTTTTACGGCTTCGATATCGAGGGCTCGCGTGTTCACGCGATTTCCTGAAATTAGATTCGGCTCTCGATAAATCTGCTGCTAGCATCGCGCTCAACGGGAAAGCGTATTTTTATCTCGCGCCGTCGCGCGATCACGAGCCGGACGTAAACGTTGCGTTATTAAGCGTCGTAACATCTTATCCGTTTCATTTGCTTTCATGGGAAGGAAGGAAATACGCATCGAAGGCTATTATTACATTTGTCATACGATAAAATTTTCAAGCCTGTTATTCACGCTGACTACAATGGGAATAATATTTGATGCTTTCTAGCAAGAGATAATAGACTGTAACACAGTATAACAGAGATCGTTTCATCTCTATTTAACACTGACAAGCAATATCTAATCTGATTCACTGTGTTGTCTGTGTCTCTTGCGAAAAAGCACATATTATGTAGTAAGCAGTAAGTTATATAAGAAAATTGACCAATTATAGTTGATTATTCTCCTCACATTCAATTGTAATTGGTCAATTTTTTACGCCTCGTAACTTACTGCATCACATTACTCCCATTGACGATCCTTTAATTGGCAGCACGACCGAAAGGTTTGCGAATCTCTCTATTCTACAATCAATCAATAGACTTGAAAAATGTCTCATACAATAAATGTAATACCAGCCGAAGGATGCGACGAGTGAGGTCGTTAATTCGGTACGGTACAATCGTCAGATGATCCTCGTCCTCTGATTATACAGCACAGAAGCTTGCAGCAACACTCAACATTTTCAATTTTACTGCAATATTTAGGCTTCACATAGCAACAATCTTGCTGACGAATAAAACTTCGTTTTGTTTTTAACATGTTTTCTGCATTTATTTTGTCTCCTTTTAATTTTCTTTTGTATCTGGATAAGTATTGTATAGTAACAAAGATTATTATTTTTTTTTTTTTTTTACTTTTATTATTATTATTATTTCTGAGACGTACGTTGTAACAATACTGGAATGATCTATGCTTTATGAGTGAATACGAACGTCGAGCGGTTGGCGAATCAATGCACCGGATACCGGATGCGAAACTTCCGACGATTTCATTTGGCTGCATTTTTAAACAGCACCATCGAGCATACGCGCTACTGATATGATATTCGATAACGGCAATCTCTATTTCACTCTTCATCTTTTTCCCTTCGCCCCTCTTTCTCTCTCTCTTTCTCTCTACAAATGGTTCGATACGACTTCGGTTGTCCAGGTCGACCGCCGCCGTCCCTGCGCTGAGGGCAACGCCCTCACAAGCCCTCTCATACCCATTCAGAAGAAACGCCGGAGGAAAGAGGGATGCTTGGTGGGTGGAAAGGGTGGAAAGGGCGCGCACGGTGATGCATAGCCCTCGCGCGCCGGGGCTACACCGAGTCGATCCTCAGTTTAACACGGGAGGAGGGGATTCCCGTTATCATGCCAACTCAACAGCGCGCACAACTCCAGAGGGTAAAGCTCTGAGCACGATGAAACATTAGGAATAGAAATATAAATATTGAAATTTTGAATTACTAGAAACCGTGTATTCTCCGGTGTAACCGGATATCTTGATGCTTATTCCTGCTCCTAATATTCTTTTATTTCAAATAGAAGTCGTAATAATATCATAGGGAATATAGGAACATCACCGTGACCTTATTTGTCATTTATATATAAGTTTGCTTTTAAACATCATGATATATAATGTCCTGTGATATCGTTATGATTTTTAATTATGACGCTGTATTTTATCTGGAATTGTGCACAGCTCTTAATTCACAGTATCGCATATCGTAGGAAAAGAAAGAAAAAGAGAGAATCATATATAGGTATTAACTCTCATAAAACTTATTTTCGCGTCCTCGATTTCCGATATTTCATCACCAATTTAATATCGGTCTATGGAGAGACCGTGTAGCCCTCTTCGCAAATCGACTTCCAACTAAATAACGTTTCGCAATTTCGCTCTCGCTTTGGCTCTTGAAATAAGCGCGGCAAAATAAAACGAAGTCGTTACGAGACCGCCGTCGCGGTCGTCCACTCTCGTCCCCTTTCGAGGATTTCGTTACCTACCGCAATCTAACAGCGGTTACTCCCGGGAATATCGATCGACGCGGGTTTATCGATTTCGAGGGAGAATTAGGAAAAGTAGGACGCGGCCGCTTACCTCCTCTTAACTTGAGCCTGCATCGGCTGCGGGGTAGGCAGAAGGTTGGGCAGACGTCTCGTTTGGAGCGAGCTCGTCGGAGGTTGCAACGTGGTCGGTCGTACGGTCGTGGTGGACTTCTCCGATCTCTTGCGTCGATCCTCGCCCGCGTAATACCGCGAATACGGCACTGTGTCCCACACCCGCGGTACATCCTCCTCGACCTCATTCATGATGACTTTCCCGTAGCTGAGACACAAATAATTCTCGTTACGGCAAAATTTTACCGATCAAGATAACACTTTCCACTTGGTGACGCAAGTTGACAAAAAGTGCCATTCTGTCTTTATTATTCATTGAATGCCATAAAAACATGGCTTACGTTTTAATATTAAAATAATAATAAAATAAAACATTTTATTATATATATATTGATTTATTAATATATATATTGTATTATATTCAATATTTTATATGGTTGTTTTAAAATTAATGATTTTTGGGATAATAATGATCATAAAATATATTAAATATATATTAAAGTAATAATACATATATTTTCTAGATCCTTCGAAATAAAATTTTACTCCAAAAAAAAATGAAAATTCTGCTACTCTTAAAAAAAGAGTAAAATTCATTCTAAAAATTTAGAGAATAATATTAATATAATATTATATGTATTAATATAATACTAACAATCTAATAAAATGTCTTAAAATATTATGAAATGTATTATACATAATATTGGTAATATTATAAGCACAATAATTCTACACAGCGCGCTTTATCTGAACGTTTATAGGACATCATCCCCCCTTAAAGATATGGGATATAACGAAGAAAAACGAATAAATGTGAAGCTCTCGAATAACGCACGACATTCAAGGTAAATTAATACAGCAGGCCATTAAGTTCTAAAAATATAATAATAAACTACGAAGCGAAAAAAAGTGTACTCCGTTTGTCGATCAAATCGAACATTACGTTGAAATCGTTATATAATTCGAGGTATTGAATTCTGAATAATTTATTTTCACATTGACGCGAAAACTAGACTTACTCATAATTCTTATCGTACGGCGAGTACGACTCGCGCTCGTACATAGCGTTGCTGGGTGATTTCTGGGCCAGGGATGGTTTATCGTCCTCGGCAAGAGCTGCTTTCAAGCCTCCCAGCCCCGAGGCAGCGAGAGTTCCTACATATGTAAATGAATTCCAGAGATGATCCTCGTACAGTATTCGTTGGATTATATTACGCATTGTATCTTTTAACCTTTTATTAAAAATCTCGCGTGAGATATGCAGGTCACTCGGTCATTTTATAAATTTGTTAGACGTATTGCATTTATACGTATCTTCATATTATATTAGCGCGAAATATTTGACTTTAAAAGATTGTTTTTTTATTTTTAATTACAAATGTTATTCATTCTCATCCAAAAAATGTGCAGAGTTATCAATTTCTATTTAATTAAATAATAAAAGAGAATCATAAAAATTGAGATATATAACGTTGGGGTGTCGGAAACATCCCACGCAAGTAATTACGTTAAAAAAAGAATCACAAGAGTAATTTATTTTTATCTAAAGAATGTATAGAATATTATACATTTTCATTTGATTGTGTGTAAATAATTAAAGAGAAGTGAAAGTTGAGATACAACGTTGGGGTGTTAGAAACATCCCAAGCGAATAATTACGTAAAGAAAACCACGCGAGTAATGTGTTTTTATTTAAAAGATGTTATCAATTTTTATTTTATTGTAAATAATAAAAAAAGAATCGTGTGAAAATTGAGATGAAACGTAGAGATATTAGAAACATCCTACGCGAGTAATGTGTTTTTATTTAAAGGATATGTTGTATCCATTTTTATTTAATTATAAATAATTAAAGAGAACCGTAAAAACTGTGAAAATTGAGATACAACGTTGGGGTGTCAAAACATCCCACGCAAGAAATTATACGTTAAAAAAATTACAAGAGTAATGTATTTTTCTCTAATGAACGTATAGAATGTTATCAAATTTTACTTATTTATAAATAACCAAAGAAAATTATAAAAATTGAGATATAACAAGTCAGAAACTTTCTAAGAAAGAGAGACAGCGAGTATAATGAAGATTAAGAAGTAACTCACGTTTCTCTGCATTCGACATTAAGGATTCTCCAGCAGCGGCAGCAGCATTAGCAGCCTGTCGATTCTGCTGGTTGCCGAACATCAGCATCTCCTGCGTTCGTTTTGCTGAAAGCGACATTGCGGGGCGTTCAAGCGAATCGAAAGCGAATAAAAATCGAGGAATAATTCGAACGCGATCTCAACGAAAAGTACGCTACTGGATTTACGAGCCTTACATTTTGGCTTCATGGTCTGGTCCGCCTTCTTCGCGTCCTCCATCAGGTTCGTAGGCAGGCACAAGCCTATGGAGATCAGCGAGAACAGCAGCAGCAGCAACCACGCCCAGTTACACGTCATCTGCGACAAAGTTGCGGGATTTTCATTGCCGGTGGTGCGTTCGCGATGACGCACCGTTTTCAGGGTCAGAGCTTCGCGACACTTTTTTTGCGCCCCGTGTCTCCCACCCCCGAGTTCTTCCCCTTGACATCGGATTTCCGACTGCAGTAATCGCAGAACCAATAAACTAAGGTCTGTTCTTTTTACCTAAAGTTCTTACACGGTTCACATTTTTCTTTCTTTTCTTTTCGCGTTCGAGAGAAAAAGAGAAAAGATGGACCGTGCAAGAAATTCAGCTGAAAAGAATAGGCCTTATGATTTGTCTCCAAGGAACACACGAAGGTTAACAAAAATTCAAAATGACTTTATTTTAATTCTTAACATCGATAAACAAGTTTTGTCATCAAAAATCATCATTTTCACTTTCTCTTGACTTGACGTATCTTTTGGCTGTTTATTATGATTTCCCGATCCAAACAACGCGCATCTCCAAGAACGAAACATAAAACCCCTTAAGGATGTCTAAAAAAAATGTCTTATACTCGTTTCTATCAATGCAGCTTAATTTTAATCTCGGCTGGACAAACTTTTTTATAGTTATAAAAATTAGCAAAATGGAAAGCAAATTGAACAAAGATTAAAATTAATCTACATTAATAAAAACGAACGTTAAAGACATTCTTTTTAAAGAGATGTCAAGACATCTTATGTTTCCTCGATTTTGGATCTTCTGTTGTCCGCGGAATTTTATTTACCAGGTCACCGTACTAAGAAAGCTTAAATATGTAAATGTCATATAATGCGAAATGTCGGGAATCTATTTCCATTGTGTGTGGAGAGACCGAGTGTAAGGGTCGCTCGATAAAGGGTCTTGTCGTGCACATATATTTGCTGTTACATAAAAATATTACGTCGTGGAGTTCTATAATAATATATCTTCAGATATGACGCCCCCATCGCAACGGTCGACGACGTCACGACTTCATGTAATCGACGCGGTTTACTTTCTTCGGTTATGACGTTGACGTTACCGTATGACGTAGACAGCGAGAGAATTCCCAGCCGCTTTACGTCACACGTGTGTAACTTGATAGGTTGACTTTATTGAACTTTTGTTTTATCGCGTGACGGCGATATGCAGCTCCACGCGCGTGTATGTATAATAAAAAAAAGATTCCTCTTGAGAAATATAATAAATATCCTAAAAGGAGCGAGCGATTGTTTTTCAATAGAAAATCCTGACGGCCTCGACTTGTTTTCGCGCGACTGTTTTAATTTAACACGCATAAATTCACGTGTCTGTAATAAGTTCATTAGCAGCTGTTCGATTTATCAAGAATTTCATAACGCTGGAAGGCAAGTTTCCGCGTGTTGCACGATCGAATTACACCGCTTAATTGCTCTCAATTGGCTTCTCATTAATGAATTACGGAGTGCCTCTGAGGGTAAGTTAACCCACGTAATTACGTGAAACTCTAATGGTGATGCTGGAAATGGCTGCGGAGAGTAGCGAGCGCGCGGACGGTGTGTTACTTGGAAATGTCAAAGTTCAAAATTGCGTGCGGAAAACGATATGTATTCGCGAAATTACGTATTTACAGTATACAGCGACAACCTCGGATATTGCATTCCACGCAATTTCGTATAAAGCAAATGGCTCGCATTACGCAGTCCGGGAAGTTTAACAGTCGGATTCGGAATATTGAAAAATACATGACCCCTGACCTTTCGAATTTTAGACTCTTTTTTTTTTTACATATAAAGGTCATTTAATTTCGCATTTTGTATGATATATAATTGAGGTTTTATTCGCCTCGGTAATAGACGTATATCCATATCCGGATCGATATGGGATTAAACGACATTTAAGTGGAACAAATAGAAATTAATGTCACAGTTGAAACTGCTTTCGCGACAGTTTCGTTATTGACGCTGCGACACGGCTCTCAATTAAACGATCACTGGATCAAACGCTCGGGAATTATTTCCGGAATTGACATTCGTCTAAGTCCGAAAACGAATAGCGAAGTTTGACAATTAAAGCGAGCCGTGCAGTAACGCCAAACCGGATATAGTAGACCTAGAAATCGTACACTTGTTGCATCTACAAATACTATAGTCATTTATCGGCGTATACGAGCTGCACGGCTAGGTAAATCGCAATTAAAAATGCATTTCATTGAATGAGAATCTCATTGACGAGTTAAGTGTGTATAAAGGCCTTCTCTCACGCACACGCCATCGCCGTAATTAATTCTAATTTATTATAATAGCATGGCACGCACAGACATATTACCGTTTTAAAGAGGACCGACGATGAAATCATAAAGCAACATTTAATCCCGAAACACACACACACACACACACACACACACACACACACACATTACACACGCGTGCGCACGTAGCCAGCTGTTTTCTTAAAATAGACATAGAAAAAAAAAAGGTGAATTTAATTCTTTCTATTACAAACTGCCAAAATCGAACAATATCCTTTCATTGAGACAATATAAAACTTTTTTTTACTCGGAGCTGTGCGCAACTACCTGTATGAATGTACCGAAAGTGACCGGCTATACGTGACAATAAAGCGCGTTTGCGGTCACATTCACCGTTCGAATTTCAGAGAATCTGTTTTAATCCGAAATTACACATCGACAGCGGAGTGAAAGTAAAAATTGCACGGAAGAAGCGAGGACGGTCTACCTTTCGAGATGCGGTGATTTCGCTGGGTTTGTCCTGATACGCTCTCGTCCGTTCCTCTCGCGGTGATCCTTCGGCTGGCACTCGGGTGGCGAACTGGCACGTCCTAGCGGATCCGCCGGCTCGGGGTGGAATGAATGTCGGGGCTCGGCAGGACGAGTAGAAAAGCGGGGTACGGTCGATCAACCAACCCCCACCTTGGTGTGAACGAGCATTCCCCGTCTCTCGACTCGTGGTGGTGAGAGCACCCTACGACGACGCCGTTGGCTGCGCGCGCGTTGCGTTTCCTCGCACACGAAGCCGACAGCCGTGCGGTGCCGTGTGTTGGTGCACGCGTGTTGGTGCCGCACACCGTTGATACAAGGGACGTCTCTGCCCACGCGATGACCCAACTACGTCTTCTCGACGCGGATCCCGGTTTTCTACGTGGCATCGTACAAGGATCGCTTTGCGTGGGAATTATGTTGTTATTTTGCTGTCGAAAGCCTGTCAACCGGCATTAACGGAGCCATAAGATTTTGCCGTTATCGTACCGCTATCGGTTTGGAAGTCACCACGCTGAGAAAAAATATTCGATAAATTTTTATAAACATTTATTCGTATACAGTATCATGTAAACTAAATGTTTATTTACAATAAATAAATATTTATTTTACTTAATAAAAAGAAATGTTATATAGTTGAATTAAATTAATAATTTTGCACCAAATAAATATATCTTTATATTTAGTAAATATTTAGTTGGCACTATTCGAATAAAATACTTTTTTTAATTTAGTTTAGTTTTCAACACACGGATGGAAAGTTTCCGTGTTCTGCATCCCGGTAATAATTAATATAATGTTGCCTTTAATTTTTTTTCTCTAATTGTAAGCTTAACTCTCCGCCGGCGATGTGAATTTTAATTTAACTCTTTTATCAGTAATAAAGGTCTACAAGAAACACAGCAATTTTTTGTTTCGGATTATAAAACTCTGAAAAGATTCTGATATTATCGAAGCTTTAACGAGTTTTTAATCATCACAGAGATTCGAATTGTATTTTACATTTAAATACATCATGCTTTTGTTTTAGCAAAAATTTTATTTGTTTTATTAATATTGTTATCGAATTAACAAGATCATTTTTAATTAAAACGATTGTATCAATATTATATTTTTTTCGGTATTCAAAATTTATAATCAAAATATCGATGATGCCTTTAAGGAACCCAATGGAGGGTTAAAATCGTCTTTGTATCGAGAAATTTTTTAGGCTCCTCGAGATGATATTGAATTCTATATGGAGATCTACGTCCTTTGTAAGATAAAGAGGAATACAAAGGCAGCTTTAGCCATCCTTTACGACAACAAATCCTTATTGCCGTAATTCGATATTTCTGTATTCTAAACGACACTTTTCTTCGAAAGGGCATAGGTCCGTTTATGCTCTCTCTCGTCAGCCCTTGAAACTCAACGCGACCGTTAAATATATACAGCTCGTCTCATCTTGAAAGAATGCAGCCTTTACCTTAATAGGATCGAGAAGAAACTGCAAAGTGTGTGATTATTTATTCTCTATCGAGCTATTCCTGATCTGCAGAGAGCTTTTCATATTTATAATTTTCTTCATGAATTTATATAAGAGCGGGAGATAATCTAGCATTTCTACCTTCGATCTAGCATTAAATTGAAGTACTAGCATAAAAGAAAAGAAAACTGACACGTTTCGCTATTGTTAGTACTCTTGCAACGCAGGCCACGGATACTCGATAGAATTAATAGAAAGGTAAAACACTACCGGGCATAGCAACTCCACTGCGTCACGTAATGTCTACTATGACGTTACCCGCTTGTCTTTAATTTTAATGAGATGATTATGCAAACGTCATAGGGATAGTTTTCTTTGGCATTTCGAACGGTGACGTTATACGCGACGCGGTTCTACGGTCTATGACAGGAACATGTATACTTAAGTAGTAGAGCCGTGTGTATTTTCAGCCGGTACATTATAGGTATCTATCGTCCTAATCTCCACTTCTCAAACATTTATTTTCTCAATGCGAGCGTTCCAATAAAAGAAATTGGCACGACGATTAAAAGATTAGATTACAGTAGCAGCAAAAAGGTAAAGCAGGCGATGGAATTTTTATTAATTCCATCGCCTACTTTACCTTAGGAATGCAAAATTGGTTTCGACTCCTTTAGGTACCTCTCAGATATTTTTTTAATTGAAAGATAAATGAAAAGTGGCAAATTCAATAGTAAACTATTGAACTCTCCAACTCGCGCGTATGCACTTCGATGTTTGTGCTTCGAATCTGAATTTATTTTTTATTAATATACAAATATTTCACATATATGTGTCTTAACAATTTAATGCTTTAATTTTTGCAAATTTTCATCCACAAATTGCAGATAAAATTCATGCGAGAAATATGACTGAAGATGTATTATAATACGATAAAAAACTCGGAAGTTCTTAGGTTTCTTAATCTGAAGGCACACTTTAGCCGCTTTCCTCTCAATTCCCAAGATTCACGTAAATTATATTTGCAAAGGCAAAACAAATTACATTTTGTGGTTTAGGCCCAGGTTTAGGGACGAAAATCCAACGACGATCTTATGGTAAACTCAGCGCGACCTAGCGCGCCATGAGGGAGAAGAGATTCTCTCTCCGACCTCCACCCCTCGTTCTGTATTCATCCCCAATCATCTAGCTTCAGCCCCCGCAACAGGCCATACGCCTACGCAAGAACGTTACGGCGCCCACGCGCGCTTCTACTCCACACCGAGAATCGAGCTGAGATCGGGGGTTGGGTGGAAGGGAGCATATTTTTTTTTCTCGCGTCAGCAGACCGACGCTCGACGACCTCCGCGTCAGGGTTTCCCACACCCTTCAACCGCTTGAGCGGCACCTTTCGCAACGTACATATACGTGAAAACAATAAAGATGACAAATGTTCTCGATACCAATTCATTATTTTTTTTTTTATACATATACTTTATTTTAATAAAATTTGAAATATGTAATCTGTTTTGAGATAAAATTTGTATGTAGATTGCCTTTTTTATTTTAAAAAGGAGATTTTTTAATTTTATTTTATTCGAATTGGACCACGCCATGTATACTGCAGAGTATTCTTCTACAGCACGAAATATTACAGCGATGTCGCAGCGATATTTAGAGAAATGTTGTAGATATATTGCTGCAATACATTTATATGCAATATTTCGATTATTAATCTAATTTTATTGTTAAAATATTATTGATTAGCATCACATTCCAAAATATACATGACAAATCAGAAAACACATTCGATAGAGCTTATAAGAACACCACTCGTCAATTAGATCTGCATGAGCTTTCTTATTATAGGATTTTCTTCTATAGCAAAAAATGTGTCCATGTGAAGGCGAAGCTGCGTACTTATATATTGAATTATAACAGTGTAGTAATAGATTGCAATATTTTCTACAAAATATCAAAGTTTATTTTAATATAATATTGATGCAATATTACGAATAAATATTAAAATCACAACATTATTAATTGCTACAACTTTTGTAATATCGTGCACTATTTTAAAATATTGCTGCGATATTTCGTGCTGTAAAGATTTTATCTTTGGAGATTGTTTCCATACAAATATCTTTTATTTTTGCAAAGAGAATGGGTACGTGATCTTGGGAACCCCTGTTCCGTAAAGAGGTAGCTGTAACCCTTGAAATATGTCTAAGATTCCCGTGGGCGGCGTCGCTGCACTTAAAGTAATATCACGTTCGATAACATCAACGGATGAGTACTCGTATAGCTGTGAAGAGACTCGTTCTTTGACGAGCGAAACGAAAACTGACATCGAGGTCATAGACGTGAATTATTTTCGCCTATGTTGTAAATATCATTTCCTTTGCAGCAATATCTATTTCGACGAAATATACTTCATTCGTACAGCTTTACGTGAGTACAATTTTGATGACAAAATTTGCTCGCTTAAAATCCACTTTGGGCAATCCATAAATTTGCGACAGGGTTCGGAACAGGTTTCTATTTATAATTTTATGTCGCGTGCTTTTTATATGCGTGTGCAAGTTCTCCAGGTCAATTATCCAATGTATCACACGACACATAAAATTATAAATAGAATTCTGTTCCAAATTCTGTCGTGAATTATAAATAAGGCATGAAAATGAGTTTAAACCAATTTTAGATGATCTACAAATCATGATTCTTTTCTATATTAGTGATTTTGTACATTAAAATATAATAACGTATATCGGTCGCTTCCAATTCATGACACACTTTACTGATGCTTAAAAAAGAATTATGTCTTTCAGTTTAACACAAGCGTGCTAAGTTATATATCTAGTTATATGTAATTATAATATGAATTATATATGTATATGAACTATATATAATTTAATTACATGTGTATATACATATATATAACATATATATATGTACAAAATTAATGATATAAATAAAAATATATATAAACATATACATATACATAAATTATGTGCAAATTTCTCAGGACTTTAAAGATAAACTTTAGGGAATGATAGAAACGTTTGTTAACGAAATTGTGTCCTCTTTCGCATTTTTAAGGAGCTGCACGTCCTTGTTCGCATCAGCTGTAAGTACACAATCGATCGCGCGGTAGCATTGCGTGTACCGTCTGACAATATTAGTCTAAGTAAGCTTCTGCATTTTTTGTTATTTTTTTGCAAAAACAAAATCAAAGAACATGAACTAGTATTATCAGATATCACATGCGACTGGATGCAAAGCTCCTCTGATTGTATATATATATATATATATATATCAGAGATTTTTTTTAGAAAAAGTTAAGTTTTTTTGAGATTTAGCATCCTTAAAGTTTGTCCCTAAGATTCTGAAACATTTTTATATGTACATAATTTAACGGCACATGTGTCTATATTAAGCCGAAAGATATGTTTTTTACGCTTTTATAAAATGTGTCATGAATCAAAAACGAATAGCACACACGCGTTACAAATAATGCAATGCAGGTAAAAGAATTTCAACCTATATTGAAAAAAGATATAGGTGTCTAATATCTTTGGCCAAGGCGGTATTTCATGTCTCAAAACTAAAATTGCCTCTGCCGGATTC